AGCCAATGGGTATGATATGCTTTTTAATTTGGGTGTTATTTTTGGCACTCTCGTATTAGGAGTTATTTCTGATTATTGTACATCTAAGTGCGGAGATTCCTGTCGAGCCCCGCCCATGTTCGGGTTCCTGGTCCTGGCCATCGTACCTATCGCCATGCTACGTGCCGACCGTCCTTCAACCCTCTATCTCACCCTTACTGTGTTCGCCTGTGGCTTCCTGGTAGGATCAGTCGCGAATGTCCTGTCGAGTGTCGTATGTGCTGATCTTGGCCGTAAGTTGCCCAAGAAAGCAGTAGCACAAGTATCTGGTATTATCGATGGGGTAGGAGCTATCGGAGGCGCTCTAATGCAGCTAGTGGTCACAGTTATCGCCCAGTATTCCAGCTGGGGTTATGTCTTCATTGTATTGCCAATCGCTTTGGCCCTCAGTGCTATCATTCTCGCTAAGTTGGCGTATGAGGAAACCATCCATTTTGTTAGACAACTATCACGTTCACCTAGGCTTTCCATGGCATCTGCGGGTGTTCTATGATTGATATTAGCCAATTTTGTTTATTCTGAATAAGTTTCGACCTACGATGCGAGTTTGCGTTGCAATATGGAAATTTGAGACTTTTATCGCACAATTCGATGTCCTCAGGTGGGGCAGCTATGCCACTCCAGTGTATGGATCACTGCACTCAATTCTGCAAGCGCACGAGCTAGGTTGGTCGGCTATGGTAATGTGACGAGAGTGATAGCTCTAGCGATGATCGAAAAAGTTCCCGCGGTGGCATATCGGCCCCGGATATATTATCAGCGCGAGTGGTTGCTGCATTCAGCTAGTAATGGAGTTATTTTGGTGTGTGTTGAGTGAGTTCACTTTCTTCGTCTACGCGAGATATGTTTCAGTATGGCATATGTGCCCCGCCCTAGACATATTTGGGGGCGGCATAGCCGTTTATCGGAGAAATGGATTCTACGATGGTTTCTTTCGTGGTGGCATAGTTGCCCCATCGAATAAACGGAACTCTTGACAGATCATTCTGGGGCGGCATAACTGCCCTATGGAAGAATTTGATCCTACCGTGTTTCTTCCGGGGCGGCATAGCCGCCCCATTGGAGAAACTGGTATTCTGAGATATATTTTTATAGTGGTGTAGACGCCCCACGGAGGAGTTGATCCCATAGAAGATCATTCGTGTGTAGCATAGCCGCCCCTGCGGAAAATTTTTTCCTATGAGAAATAATTCTACGGTGGCATGAATGACCCATAGGAGGAATTGGTCTCATCTCGTTTTTTACCGGTGGCATAGCCGCCCCATCGGAGAAATTGGTCTTATGAGAGATAATTCCACAGTGGCATAGCGGCCCCATCGAAGAAATTGATCTTATGAGAGATAATTCCACAGTGGCATAGCCGCCCCATCGGATAAAATATTCTTATGAGAGAAAATTCCACAGTGGCATAGCTGCCCCATCGGATAAAATATTCTTATGAGAGAAAATTTCACAGTGGCATAGCGGCCCCATCAGAGGAATGAGACAATAGAGGATATAATGGACCTACATACTGGCTCCATCGCAAGAAGTCTCTGTGGCGAGTCGGCCTGCCTGTGACAGGTGTCCTCCTTAAAGGGCACTGCTGTTTGGTGGCCGGTCAAAAGGGCAGAGTCGAGACATGCGTTACATGCATGGTGTGGTCTACAGTTTGGAAATGCTGCATTGCAACAGTGAGTTCTGCAGCAGAGCTCACTGTATTGAGGGGGGGGCATGGGAGAGTATACTATGTACGGATAGGGTGGCAGTATTGGGTACTAGGGACTGAGCGGTGGTACTTAGGTTTCAGTCGGGACATCGTAGAGTAGGAAGGAACGTTGTTAGTTGGCTGCATTCGATCACAGGCGAGCACCTCTGGAGGGGATACAGGCGCCGGTTGAACTGTTTGCTCTTGGTGTATAGAAGAGAATTGGTGTATGCTTCAGCGCATTGAAAGTTTATTCAAGGCGATTTCAGAGTTAGTTTGAGATATGGCCCACCAAGATTCGAAGGCGACGCGGAATACTGCAGTACCACGGCATAGTAAAAGATACTACCAGGTTTCGGCTTTCCTCTGGACCTTCTTGACCTACGTCTGTCTGCATGCTGTGCGAAAGGCTTTCTCTAATGCTACACCCAACATGAAGGAATACTATGGTTACTCTACTACCTTCTTTGGCATTATGAATACTCTTTTTATGCTTTTTTATGCCATTGGTATGTTCTTCACCGGACCGCTGGGAGACATCTATCATCCAGTTAGAGTGTTCTTCCTAATGACGGTGCTCTGTTGTGTCACTCAAGTCGTCTTCGGCTGTATGGTTACTTCTGTCACACGAGGCGGATGGTTTTACTTTTATTATCCTCTATGGGTTGTCAACGCTGTATTCCAGTCCGGCTGTTGGCCCGCTGGTATCCTCATCGTCGGTCAGTACTTCCTCCCCAAGTATTACGGCACAGTCTTTGGTATATGGTCCAATGACTCCAATGTTGGCAACATCCTAGGAGCTGCTATGTGCACACTAATGATTGAGATATTTGGTAATCAGGCATCAGTACCATGGCAGTTCTTCGGCCCGACAGTGGTCCTTCTGATAGTCTCTGCTCTAATGCTTTACTTCCTCCCTCGGGACCCGCAATCAGTCGGGATCGTCATACATCCTGTGAATACCCTAGAGGAGCCTCTGACTGCTGAAAGTGGCGAGTCCGATACAGCAGCCAGTGAAATCCTAGAGACTGAGAGATTGGATTTCTTCGCAGCGTGGCGTGCCCCAGGAGTGCTCAGATACTCCTTTTCGTATGCTTGTATCAAGGGTGTCAACTACGCTATGTTCTTCTGGTTACCCCTTTATCTCACAGAACACGTTGGTAGGACCTCTGCAGAAGCCAATGGGTATGATATGCTTTTTAATTTGGGTGTTATTTTTGGTACTCTCGTATTAGGAGTTATTTCTGATTACTGTACAGCCAAGTGCGGAGATTCTTGTCGAGCCCCACCCATGTTCGGGTTCCTAGTTCTGGCCATCGTACCTATCGCCATGTTACGTGTCGACTGCCCATCTGTCTTGTACCTGTCTGTTACGGTATTCGCATGCGGCTTCCTCGTTGGGTCCGTATCCAATGTCCTCTCTAGCGCAGTATGTGCTGATCTTGGCCATAAAATGCCCAAAAAAGCAGTAGGACAGGTATCTGGTATTATCGACGGAATGGGAGCTATAGGAGCTGCTCTGATGCAGCTGCTGGTCACGGCTATCGCACAGGTCTTCAGCTGGGGTGCTGTTTTCGTTCTACTACCGGTGGCGCTAGGAGTAAGCGCTGTAATGCTCGCTGGGATGGCCTATACAGAGATCAAAGAGTTCGTGCAGAAGGTTTGACTCGATTAGACGGTGACAGCGTAGCTTGAGCTCCTGTTGGATAGTCGTAACCGAGCAGTAGTAATCCCATTCGTATATTTTATAGCGCCCGTAGTGTATTTTTCTGCACTCTCCCACTGCACTGTGTTATCACTTGAGGAGCACAATCACCATGGGTAACTAGATTGATTACTATGATATCGTCAGTAAGACGATGTATGGCGCAATGGATGTATTGCCAGCGGTTCATCCTCGTATCAAAAGTCATGTTCTATGTCAGTTTGACTGTCCCAATGTCTACCGCTGCTCCACATAAACCTGCGGAGTTCACTTACGTAATAAGAGCTACCGGCTATGGCATAGTACGAAGAAATTCTTTCGGCGCATTCGGTTCCTACTAAAGGTTTGTAACATCTCTAGCTAGCGCTCGGGTCGCTCTAATGCATAGGGAGGTATTTGGGTCGCTGATGATTATCCTACATTCTGTGCATTCTGCGAATATCTTCAGGGCTTTCAGTTTGAGCTCATAACAGAAGTGTGGACCATGCGTAGGTGCTCATACCCGCAGACAGCAACGAGCCCATCCAAGAATTGAAGAGCCCTCAAGTTGACCTGGAAAATGATACGTTTGTGAAGCAGTTGAAGGTCTACTTCGCATCCAAAAGCGATGAGAGCAGTCTCGACAAGTAAGGACGGGATCTGTGTTTTGATACATCCACCTTGGGATCAGTTGAGGGTCGCTCGCGCAGAGATGGGAGTGCTAATTATTAGGCCTTCATGACGAAGGGGCGGAACTCACTGAGTCCACGTCCATGCACTCAATCAAGGAATTTTACATAGGTCCCCGGTTCGATCCCCGGGTAGGACGTTTCTCCGTCATTAAAGTTTCTCGTGCATATCTCTTCGAGCTGTTCGGATAATCGAGTTTTCCGAATTTTCCCGAAACCTCCGCATGTAGAGGAGTCGTTTGATCTATCTGATAGCCTCCCATGCTTCGTAGTTAAGCCGGAATAATTTTGCACGCACGCACAACGCGAAAGTGCCTGTTGTTACGGTATATGCTCTACTCGCTTCGCTCGCTCCGCAGCGTCCACTACTGGAGGAAAAAAACAGTTGTTTGCGGACCATCGGGCGAGCACTGGCGAGCATGGATGTAGCGAGGAAGGCCTCGGCGGTGACGACTGTCCTGATGGAACCGAGTTGAGCGACGACCAGTCTCTGGCACAAAAAAAAATATGTCGAATGGCTTTTGAAGGCCTTCAAGGATACTACTGGCGGTCAGGGTGCCGAGAAGTCCAACAGACGGTCTGTTACAGACCTAGTCTCAAAGCGTTGTTTGACGAGAAAAAATGAATCATTGATGGGGTAGTGCTGCACGAGATGCGGTTGTATGAGGCGACTATATCCCCTTTTGATGACAACAAGGCTCTAAACACGACATTCATTCGAGAAGTGCTGAACGCGCTGTTCCGTAACGATTGTTCTCGATATTTTTCGGCCGGTGAGGCTTCGGCGAAACCTCGCTTGATGATCGACAATGTTCACAAGTTCTTCGACGTTAATTCGGAGACTACCTTTGTTATGCATCGTATGGTTGGAGAAAACTCCTTACTTAAACAAGAGGATGAGTCACCACTCGGTACAGAAGGCCCTCGGTGATATATGTTGAGCGTCGTCGCTGGCGCACTTGGCCAAGGTGGTAATATCAAAGCATACGATAGGGCTGCGGCGGGAGAGGAGGGGGTTGAGAGGTTTCGGCTTCGATGAGGACGATGATGATTTGGATGGTGATGGGTTGTGCGTTGGATTCTGAGCATTCCGATGTAAGACTCGGTTTGGCATCCGTGATTGGTAGATCGTATGTATTTTAAGCAAGAGCTATCAAGAGTCTAACGTCCTGCAAATGGAATTCGCTTGCGTCGTGTGGATGGTCTTTAAGGCTCATCCCGTCATGTGCGCTGCCATAGCGAGCCTTCCTCACGTATGTAGCATACATTAGCGAGGTATGTATACGTGGTTTCCTCGCTCAATCCATGTATATAGATAGTGACTACCTTGCCGTCATCGTGTCAAACAGCGACTCGGTGATTGACTGCGATACAGAGCGCATCAGAGTTACCTTTTGGAGCTTGGGAACCATCGTCAGTGCCATCATGGCACTGCCATGGCGATCGCGCCTACATTTCTTCCGTGAAACGGTGATGGTTTCGAACTGTGATGATCGCTATCATGAACTACACTTTGACTCTGAATTCTTCTCTGACCTGCTGACTCATCTTTTCATTGTTGTGCTTTGATCAATCGATTGTTAGATGGGAGTCCCATCTCGAGATTTGCCCTGGTTGAGCAGGGCAAGGGAAGTAAGATTTGACCCATATTATGGTTCCATAGTTTCCATAGAGAACTCCTGCAATTTGAGATTCCCGATTTGTTAGTCTGGAATTGTGCACTTCGTGTCGTGTCATTACTTCATCCGTTCAGACAGCAGTTCTTGGCGCAGTTATCAGCCCATGCAAAGCAGGACGTGAGCAAGTCCGTTAATCCAGAAATGCTCGAGAAGGTATTCACCGTCAACCTGACTCTGGAGATATACATCCTGTGTCGTATCAGCTCATGTCGATGACAACTGTGGACATCCTCACCTTAGCTCTCCCAGTACCTAAGACTAGCTATACTGGCGTGAGTATGTACGTCGATGATAAAGGAGTTGCCAAGAACCTTCCTGTGAATGTGTAAAGCTAGTAGCACCTTGAGGCTCTACTTGAATGTGTTCAGACGGGCTCAAGGGCTGACTTCAGCTTGTGGCCTTATCGGTAATCAAATTAGAGGAGATGCGTTCGTCGGGAGGATGTACGATGATGGGAAGGACAAGTGGTTCAGGTAGGAGGCAGGTGAGCCGCGTTCCATTCAGCCGATGTTTGTTCAGGATGGACTTTCGCGAGTCGGACCTCAACTCTGGTTTAGAGTGGATTGCTGCAGCGAAGTCCATTAACATGAGACAGGGTGGCGGCACTACTCTTAGTGCACTCACAAGTCAATATGGCATGGGTAAGCTGTGGTCATTTTCGGACCTCTTCTGAATCTTAACGTTGGGAAGTATCTTTTTATCATCAGGGTCGAACTCAGAAGTGGCAGCGCCCACATCTGTTGCTAACATGTCTAACCGAGAGGAGCCGGTAAAACGGGAAGGATATACTTTCCGTCAGACTAAGGACGAGGTATGGCATGCCGTTGGCATTCTCAGTACATCAATCTGATCAACGAACAGGTCGAAATAGATATTCCGCTGGCGAATGGCGTCTCTAAGAGGGACATCAAGGTGACAATAAAGCCCAAGTTCATATCAGTTCACGTCAATAACATGCCTGTGGCAATAGAGGGTAATGCGAACTGAGCACACGTTCAAGTTTGCATGAAAATTCCGCTGTACGTTTGCAATAGTGCGTTTATCATAACCTGGTTGAAACGTGATTCTCTGGGCTGTTACGCAAGACAGTGTGAAGCTGTGATGGACTACTGTGTAGGTCCTCTGTGGGGCCATGTCGATACTGATGGTAGCGGTTGGATGATAGACGATGGGGCTCTGATTATCACTATGGAAAAAGAGAAGGAGAATCAATGGTGGGAAGACCTCGTTGATACTAAGAATGACACAGAGTAAGTACTAATGACTCACAGTCAAGTTTACCAGCTATCTCGCCCTGCAGTGTTTGGTTCAGTATGGCATAAGGATAGCGCGTTCGGTACATTGTGACAGAGAAGCCCTTTGTAGTGAGTGGTTAAGCTTCTGTTAAGCGAGGCAATGTCGAGCAGGGGAACGGATAGAAGAAGTGGCACTAGTTGTACTTGGCTACAGTGGCGAATTGCCACTGGCAATCAAGGTCGGCTTGGTCCTGTGCATCGGGGACTCCTTTTATGAGGCCGGTGATGATGGTGTGAACTCTTTCATCAAGCCATAATTTTCACTTGATACGGAATAGGGATGGGTGAGAGAAACAGCGATGGTCGGTTTGCGACGATAAAAACTGTACAGGTTCGTGACTTGCCGGTATCAGCAGTGGATACTAGAAGCAATTGTCTACCACCGGTGCCATCTTCCTACGACGAGTGCAATGTGTCTTCA